GCCGGGAGTTGGTCGGTGTCCGCACACATACTCTCCCCGCTATCCAAAGGCCTATTCAAGAGGGCTATTATGGAGAGCGGCGCCCATATGTATAACAAAAACAGGGATGTGGTCAACAAAACTGAGGCCATATCTCAGGGCAAAGCAATGGCTAAACAATTGAAATGCAATGAAACCGAGGATTGGCTACAATGTCTGCGAAAAGTGGACGCCAAGGATATCATCTCATTTAAGACCAAAATTGGGTCATTTCCAGTGTTGGGCACAGAGTTTTTGCCCATTTCTGCGCGACAAGCATTCAATGATAAAAAATTTAACATGGGTAATTTTTTCAATAAATGATAATTTATCAATTCTAGTTTGTTTAAATAATTAAGGTAAAAACTGATACATCAATTTAACTGTACAATTTTAAGTTGTGTTTAAACATTAAACATATATTTTAATACTTTATTTTAATAATATTTATACAAAACAACTAGATATTGATTTAATGGCCGGAATCACCAAAACCGAGGGCTCTTGGATAACCAGAAATATGATCAAAGACCCTGCTCATATGACATTAAACGACTTTTACAATTTAGTAAAATCACTCGACTCTATGGGCATTCATAACGTGAATGTAAATAAAGTAGCCGAACAATACCTGAAAGATGTCAACACTAGCGATGCTTTAGCTTTAAGAACCGGATTTGCGGCACTATTTGGTGACCTAATGCTCGGGTGTCCGACATATCTGTTCGCCAAACGGTTCGCACAAACTGTCAAAGAGTCGCAAAGGGTTTACTTTTACGAGTTGTTGTATAAAAGCGAATGGTTTGCCAAACAGGCTAACTGCAGTGCGACCATGGGTGTTTGTCACATGATGGAATTGCCATTTGTGTTTGGTCTACCACTACTTGATCCACGCAATTACAGTCTCGATGATATCAATTACGCCAATATTATTATGAAAACATGGACTAAATTTGCCAAAACAGGGTAAGTAACATTATGAATTATTAGACTTATTAAAATTATCCAATTAAATTGATTAATTTATTTTATAATAATTATAAAAATTTAAACATTATATATTTAATCTATAAATTTATTAAATAATAATTATGCTCATTTTAGTCGTATGGACTCTGATTGGCCGCAACTGTTAAACGATGAGCCGATGGCTGCGCCCAAAGTCCACGGTTTGGACCCAAAGGACTTACGGCTAGTACTGAGTGACCCGTTTCATGAAACTTGTGATGGCGTGTGGGCCGACTATTTTTTATAGATTAATTTTTTAAAACCATGGTGCCATAAAACTTTCCATTAAAAATTAACGGGTGTTGGGAATTTGTATTCAAATAAAATAATTAAATTTTTAAACTTAATTATTATTTATTTTTTGAATTGTAAAAATTTTATAAAATAATTATTTCTGAATTGATAATCTTAATAACTTATCAAAAACTTTAACGTGTTTCAATTAAACTTATCATTAAAAAATTTTCCCAAACACATGCTGATTTTCCATAAGGTGATTGCTTTGAACAACAAGCAGATTAAAACATTATGTTTTAGCCATATCTAATATGAGAAACAACATATTAAGTAAATTATCTACCGTGTTTGAGATATTTATTTCAAGTAGAATACTAGTAAACCTATTTATTAATAGTTGGAATAATTAATATACAATTAATGATTAAAGAAAATAGCTAGAAATTGTTTTAAAATGTTTAAAATATCCACAATAATAATTTTGTATTTGACATTAAATACTGTGAATAGTATTGATGTGAAGACCAGTATAGGAGTAGTGAGGGGTCGGACACTACATGTGTTGGACACAAATGTGGATCAGTTTGTGGGCATTCCATACGCCGAACCCCCGGTCGGCAAACATAGGTTCGCAAAACCCGAACCCATTT